AGAGTTCGTCCAGGTAAGTAGCTATTTCTGTCGCCAATAATGTGAACATTGCGTTCTGGTCAGGAAGGGTAAGGGTGTTGGTGAAATTACAGACACATGGGACTTCACAACTTATGTCTCAGGCTGATGGGCGCTGTGGCAGTTTCCCTCAAATCTTTTCGATTTAAACCTCTGAGAGGCACTGCATCTAGTAGGGACAGGCGTGAAGATTACAACCAGGCACACGACTAGTTCGTCTCCTCACTTAATATTATAAAAAAAAAATAAAAACTAAAACAATAAGAAATAAAAAACTTCAAATGACCAAATTTTTTATAAGAACGTCTTAATATTTTACAGTCATTCATTTAAAATAATACTATTTGCTATCACAAAGAATCACATGGTCGATATAAATTAACTTTTTCCCCAAGCACGTACAGTGAAGCTATTTTAAATTGCTTTTAGCGTACAATGAATTAAACCAGCTGTAATGTAATTATTGGGGCTTGCTATAAAATTTTCACCGATTTCAGCGCTGACGCATCAATTTGATTTGCGGTTTTTCGTAAAATTATTCGTTAATTGTTTTGAGATCAATTTAATGGAAATTAATTAATGTTATTGAAACGTGAATCACTTGATGGAAATGTTATTATTACCACAAAATTCAAAGCGTAAAAGTGTGTACTTTGGATATTTTTCTTTTATAATATCAAGGGACGGGACGAACAAGTCGTGCGTCTGATGGTAAGTTACACGTCAGTCCATAACAGTTGCAGTGCCACTCAGAGTTTTTAATCGCAAAGACATGAGGGGACACTGCCACTGCGACCTAATTATGTAATGATTGCATACAAAACTTTTTCTTCGAGTAAATAAACTAATGACCACAGCATTTTATTGTATATTTTGTCAACAATCCATAACAACAAACTCAAACGAGAGCCAGAAGCAAACAAACGCTACAAAACAAAAAACTAAAGAATAGAATAGTAGTGATCAAGTACGTAAGTAAGTTGCAAGACCTTTAGGCCAATTTAATCAATCAGGAGACAGAAAAGCGATTGAGTAGCGTCATATTTGATATTCTAATTAGCAAAAATACGAAGTTCTTTTTTTGAAACTCATTATAGTTCAGAACTACAACACTCAATATAATTCTGACCAAACAACTATAATTATTTTTTTTAGTTCAGTAGCGAATAACACAGGCTTGATTCAGAACTGAAAAGAGCGCCTTCGTGAAACTTTAATTGACAGCTTCAAACAAGAAAGTACAAGAGTAGAAAAAAATAACAATACAATGGAGGGCTTATTACTATTCTTGGCCTATTTCAAGTTAAACTTAACCAGCGTTTTGAAAGTCAGTGGTTCGTTTACATATTCATTTGCGACACGTCTGTCCATAGCAGTCCTAGTGCCACTCAGAGCCAATCGCAGGGATCGACGGGACACTGCCACTAAGCCTGTCACCCTGATACATAAGTTGACAAGTTCCATGTGCCTATAATTCTTCAGCACACTTACCATTCAATACGAGAACGCAGTAAAGACCATATTACTGCTTGGCGGCAGAAATAGGTAAGGTGGCGGTACTTCCCTGGACGAACCTTTTCACAAGGGGCTCTTCTGCTACTGGGGTATGCTACGAGAATGCATATCATAGAATCACATATAGAACCAGAGGCTAAGCTTCAGTTTGCCACATTCCTGATATACATTATCGTCGCTTTGCAAACAACGCCACTGTAGTTGTAAAATAGGTATTTTGAATTTTGGACGTATCAACGTTAATGGAATAAGGCTTGAGAAAAATTTAAATACAACGTAAATATTAATACAAATTAAATAATCGACACGTCGCACTTCTATTACAATAGGGTGTCGTAATACAAAATTGTCAAATTGAGAAAACACAATTTGAAAAAACGGTACCGAATGAATCGTGTTGCGAATAATGTGAATATTTTTATTTAAACACAATACTGAATTATCCATTTATAAACGAGAATATAATATATTGATTTCATACAGTACCTATCTTTTTAAATTTTCAAATGGTGTTTTCTTCACTCCACAATTAATAGCAGTGAGATCATTTGTTACTAACAATAGCTTAAAAATCTTGTATACAATTACAGAAGCAGTTTTTACACTGTCCTTTAAGATTATTTCAGCGGTGTTGTTTGTAAAGCGAAGATATTGTATTGTACCCTTGGTATAAGAAAGCTAGATCGATCGTTCTTCAAAAATACTTTTATCACATAAAAGTCATAAAAGTGATACGAAGTTATAAAATAAATTTTATATACTTATGTTAAATTTTGTATCTGTCAGCATCGATTTTTTTTACATTTTACAACTGCATCCATACAAATACGCAATTCACTATATATACGCATCACTACACTTGGGATTTATAGGCGATTGCATCGACGCAATCGTTTGTATCGATGTAGCCGCGCGTTTGCATCGATGCAATCGCCTATAAATAGCAAATGTAGCGATGCCATCGCGTGTTTCACGAACGCTCGTTTGCATTGCTGCTAAGAGTCGCCGTGTGTAACCACTCTTATGCATAAAAATGTTATCGACTAATTTCGTTCGTAGAATCTTTAAAACTCTCTCCTCAAAGTTGACATTTTGCAGATGTGACTTTTTACACTATTTACTGATTATTCGTATTAATTTTTGCTTGACATTTTTTAACCGACTTCAAAAAGAAGAGGTTCTCAATTCGTCTGTATGTTTTTTTTGTATGTATGTTACGCGATAACTCCGGTGTTTGTGAATCCATTTTGATAATTTTTTTTTGTTGGAAAGGGGGTACCTCCATAGTGGTCCCATTTAATTTTGAAGAAAATCATCGACTTCTAAAGGTGGCTGTTTACGCATGAAGATTCATTTTTATAAATAGTGCCTAAACTTTATTATAAGGAGCATTGACTTCCAAATAAATGGACGACGGGTCTAATACAAAAACCACGAAAAAAATTTCCCAAGTCAACCTATTCGAAATTTAAATTGTAATGTCATCGCAGTATCGCGCTGTCAGTAGAACAAATGAAGACTAAAGCGGAGTGTCGCGCTCTGTATACGATTGTAGCGCCTTACAAGTGCGGACACTTTTTAGCGCGGACCCGACGTCCATATAATTGTAAGTCAATGATAAGGAGCAATTATTTTAATGGTTGATTTTGCTATTCTCCAATTCAAGGCGTTTTTCTCTCAATATACTTTGAGTAGTCAGAACCCATTTTTATTATCTCCTGTGTCAAGTTCCATATAGTGGCGAACTAGGGGAAAAATCCGGGTTTGCACACTTTCCGGTAACCGATTTCAATTAAACTTGGCAAATAGATGTAATTCCACGTACCTTTGAGGTCGGTTTTTTTTAGTACTCTGTACTGAGATTATTCGAAATATTCTCAATCTCTTTATCCATATTTACATCAAAGTCGACCTCTGTCTCATATTTCCGACCACGTTCGCACTTTACATTTGTGCCATTATAGCACATTTTTCTTTGCTCCAATATAGACACTCGTAACATGCCCTACGTACTAGTGACAGCAGTTCTATGGTAGCAAACTGATAGCCATTACGTGGGAAGCGTGTATATCGATAAGTGAATGCGTACCTTAAGGGTCAGCGTATGGGGGATTGTATCGAAGTGATCTTTTGCCCGCTAACACATACTGGTAACGGATTTCCCTTAGGGCGCGTTCCTATTATGTCGTAACGTTTTATTTATCATTGGACGACTGTCTAGCCTGTTCCCATATCATGACTATCTGTCGTGACTGTGTCGTGGGTGTCGTTGATTGAATGTTTTTTTTTTGTGATTTTTTTGCAACTTGCAACAATTTTTGGTTGTCCATCTCAAAAAAAATTGTTTCATGAATATGACTTTTTTATTTTATATGTAGGACGTGTATAAGATCATTGTACATAATGTTTCTTATTATTAATTAGATCGTGAATTGTCATAAAATGTAAAAAATAAAATAGAAGCAACATACTCGATCTGTCGGTCATTTAATTGGTACGAGCTATAGCCATGGTCAGGCAACAGACGTGCTAAGTAGCACGGTAGGCAATAGACACTGGTTCCAGTTCACTTGTATCGAAGGATTTTTCTTAGTGTTGATCGATATTTGCATCAATAACAATAACAAATTAGTGGAGTATTTTCCCTTCGCTTATAAAAAATATATGGTGGTGCGATTCGGTTACGTATAGCCCAAATAGGCCAACCATGCGGGGAACGTAAAGGATGCCTTCCTTCGATTTGTGGACTATATATGAATAAATATGAATGATTGATTGGAACAAATAAAAGTAGGTAAGCTGGGAGCACAATACCTCTTGGACCAACCGCGTGGTCGATTGAATTGCCCAGGGAGAAATTCTTGATTTTACAAGTTCACCAAAACGTACGTTCAGTATATTTTCAGTAACGGAAAACGGAGGCGGTTGCGCGTACGGCCACTTGGATTCGTCGGTGCGATTTTAACTGGGCGAAAGCGAGTGTTTACTTCCTCGTTCGCTAGGTGTCACTAGTTGGTGATGTCGTCTCGCTCTTGTGTACGAGTAAGGTAAGTGCGGGAAAGAGATGGAGTAAGTAAATGTTGATCCAATCAAACCATTGCTAGTGCGATTCAAAGATGGCGCAACCAAATATCATGGTTGTAAAAACATCGCGATATTCAATCAAATCAATATTTCGTCATGGCCATTCGTCTGTCTGTCGATATATCACAGTCGTTTAAACGGAAACCCCATAAGGTCTAGGTGACATAAATTATATCACTTTCGTGCCCAACTGCGCGAAAGTTATTCTTGAAAGTGTAACTTCTTCCATTACCCACGATCCATATCCTGCTCCTACCTCTTTATAGCTGTTCACTTTGACTTTGAATTATCTGATAATACTCTGCACTATAATTTAAAAAAAATTACAACAGCAAGAAAATCATATTATTATTGTATATAACAAGATGGAAATAAATGATAAGTTACAAAAGTGGTAAATACACAAAGTAAAAAAGGCAGGGTAAAGAGGAAGTCAAAAACACTGCGTCATTACTTGCGACTTTACTAAAATTAGATAAAGTGACAACACCAGCTCTGAGGCTTAACGGACGAGGATCGCCGCCTGGACAAGAGTGGTATACCATATTGAAGTCGCAATCCTGGAATAAAATTGCTTGATTAAGGTATTGACTTGAGCCTGTCATAAACATGACCATAAAACGTTTTTTATTTATTTATTTATTTCAGATAACTCATATCCATAATTTGTTTGGTACAGTTGAAGAAATATTATTTGCACCAATGAGCGTTGTCGCTTGAAACGGCTTATCCTTTCTATTACAATAGGGTAATAAAACCATTAACACTTCTTTTACTTCAAACGTACATGGACTTAATGGTCTTGGTCCATCGCGCATCGTACGTGTCGTGAGTGCAGGTGCACTCAATGCTTTTTCTGAATTCTAGTTTTGAACTTTACACATCGGTCTTCTTTTGTCAACTTGAGTGCTTTCCAAAAATACTGAATACCTATATTTTTCTTGCTAATTCAGGAAAGTTAGTTCCGCCTAATGATTATTATCAAGTTTAAAGTTACGTACCAGTAATAAAAGTATTTAAACTAGTTGTTCACACTAAATAACACGTGCGTTTATGGACAAAGGTTTTTTTTTGTCCTATTATACTAGAAAGATAAAGCAATAAGAGGAATGCAAATTATATTTATAAAATTTTAAAATAGTTGAAGGAAGAATCAACGCTTTGCGATGCCATTAGAAATCGCACAGTGGTGATTCATGAACAGTGAGTTTGTTGGAGACCATTTTTAGGATACTATAGCTGCTGCCTCTCGTGAAGCTACTAGTGAAGCACGCCGTTTATGCATTGTTGCGTAAAAACAATCAACGCGTGCCAATGCAGACATCTCCGAAGCACTGCAGTATCGAAGCAGACCCAACAATGTCCTAAAAGCATTATTGTACTATACTTTTTGTGATAATAAGAGGCTAAAATACATTTTGCATATTTTCTATGAGCCATATAGTATAGTCTGTCGTCGAGAAAGGCATTTCGCTATTTTCTCCTGAACGGCTTAAGCTGATTACGCGTTTCTAAGTGTGGACCCCTAAGGGGTTCGTGTTATGTACGCTGGGGGTCCATGGCGAGCCTATCTAACAAAAACTATAAAAATGGGTATACAATATGGTGTGGTTAAATAGGTACTGTGCGCGTAACTTTTTGAATTTCACGAGCGAAACTCGCGTCAATGCATCCCGCGAGCCGTTCTTCTTCTTCATCTTTTCGGAAAGGGTCCGTGGGCTCTTTGAAATTTTGAGAGGAGTCCATTACTAGAAAAAGGTCAAGAAATCCTAGTAGATGGGATCTAAAAGAAGGACATGGGCTACTTTTTGGCAAAAAAAAAAGTCTCAAAGGGGGTGAAATAGGTGATGAAATTCTGTATCGAGAAAAAATTGTTTCTCAAGTAAGGAATCTGAAAATTTATATTTATGCCTTTTGTACAAATAAACAAAACAATTTCTATAGCAGAAGAGTAGGCTACTCCGAAGTACTTACTCTACGTAGACGAAATTACGGGCACCAGTTAGTATAGAATATATTAAAAGTGCGTGCATTTGGAGATATATTCCGAGACAGCTAAAGTTCGAGTCAAACAGAGGCGAATTCTGCGCGTGATGTTTCTGTTTTAGCAGCTTTCGCCGAAGACAAACCATAAATTATCTTCAAGCTGTGAATTTGTTCTCGAAACAGACGTCAGACAATTTCATCTGCAGGCTCGAGCATGATCATCCGGCTTGCTAATGCTATATAATATTAGCGATTTACTTATTTTATTTTCAACTGTACTAACATAAGCGACAATTCTTTAATAATTTATGTTAGTAAAAATATATATACTGCAATACCGCAGCCCTTGAAGACAAAAGTCTTCGAGCAGTGCGTATTGCCGGCTCTGAGACGTGGTCACTTACTATGGGCCTCAGAAAAAAGGGGCTCACCGAGCTATGGAGCGTGCAATGCTCGGCATTTCTCTACGTGATCGAATCAGAAATGAGGAGATCCGTAGAAGATGAAAGTCATCGACATACCTCAAAGGATTAGCAAGTTGAAGTGGCAATGGGCAGGGCACATAGCTGTAGCAGAAAGATTTTTCGAATGGAGACCACGAACCGGAAGGCGTGCAGTGGGACGGCCCCCTGCTAGGTGGACGGATGACCTGGTAGGGGTGGCGGGTAACCGATGGCACGTCGCGTGCGGACGGCCAGTCTGGAAATCTTTGGGGGAGGCCTATGTTCAGAAGTGGACGTCTTCCGGCTGATATGATGATGATGATGATGAGGATTATGTAAAAATATAACTATATATAATTGTACAGGACCGACGCTCTTCGATCCTCTGCTTTATTCTTTCTTCGATAATAAAACTCCTTAATTTAAAGTGGACTGTATATTCAAATAAAAATGTCGATCTGACTTACAAAACAAGACAAGTGATTCCAAGAGTGATGAAAAGTGATTGAATAACAAACCAAAATCCGCCCATATTTATACCGGCACGATGTCTCCCACATCGTACCGGACCTATCAATGGGTCGCTACGCCGCTCGGCCAATCAGAGCTCTTGAATTAATCATTCTGTTCTGGACTCTAGCTCTGACCGGCCAGGCGCGTACGGCCGTCCGTAACAATAATATTAACTGAATCATTACAGAAAAAAGTCATAACTCGGAACATTTCAATTTTGAAGTAATATCACAATCATTGTCATTGCTGGGCTCTAGTCTCCTGTCAGGCGAGGGTTTAGGTCAGATTCCGAACTTAACACGTTTTCCGAGGGTTGTGAACTTTCTACGACGTGCAGATTTCATCACATTGTTCTCCCTCATCGAAAAGTTCATGGCGAATTTCAAATTAAATTTCGTACATAAATTACGAAACCTCGAGGAACGTGAGCCCGAATTCGAACCCACTATCTCTGCTTGAGATGAGGTAGGTTAAACCATTTGGCTGCCAGTGCTTATTATAACAATATGTATAATAATAATAATTGCAATGTGGCGACTAAAAGATCGCACACTATTAGAACGAACGAAGATCGCACTGGCTTTGGGCAAACGATTAATAACGCGGTTTCCGCCACTAATCGGGAACGTTCGTGAGATGCGCCAAAGTTGAGACTTCGGCCGCCGCATAGTGGGCCCAAATTGATATTTCTTGAAAGAACTTGTGGAGTTTCGAGCTATTTTTTTTTATGTGATAAATAATAACATTCCTAACAACTTTTATTCTTGTGTAATTTCTTGAAAAGTTGATAGTTTCGGAGATAAAAAATGATAATAATTTTTTTGTATGGCAAAATATACATTTTATTTTTTATCTCAAAATATACGAAAATGTATTGTGCGTGGGTTACTTACAGTATAGTTCCAATAATTTCCTACGTAGAAAAAAATTAATCCGTCTGCATGTACTTGCGGCTTTGTAAGTAAAGGTGCGGCAAAATTGCCAACTTTTTTATGTACTTTTTTAACAAAATACAATGAGCTTCGACTAAAGAAAAATTAATTTTAATGTAATTTAGAGGGTGTTATAACAATAACACGAAAGTTAAGTAGAAACTAGTATATTGTGTTAAAAAATAAATAACAAATCTAAAAATTTGCCACCTTTTTCCTTATAAAACCGCAAGTACCTGCAGATGGATTATTCTTTTATTGATAGAGAATGAAATAAAAAATTGTAAGGAGTTCGGCCGCAATCGGGTGATAACTATCTTGAAGTGGAGTAAAAGCACGAAATAACGGAGACCAAATATTATTCACTTAGTTTATTTCTTACAACACAAAGATAGGAAGTTCACACAGGTTTACAGCAAAGATACACAAAAAATCGTGGATATACCTAATAGGATAACGGTCTGGGAAAGTCCGAGCATTAGGCATGCGATAGTTGCCACAAGGTCGCCAGCCGTTATTCTTCTTAGGTGCGAGGTGCAACGGTGAAGCCCAAGGGCTTTCGGAAGTGCACGCGAACACTACGTGTTCTCAACAATAGAAACTGGCCTGCCTCGTTCGTCGCTTTGCGCGCTTCCATTGTACGACACGATAAAAAATAATTTTTTTATGGTAAGATTATTTTATTTGTATATAACCAAAATTTATAGTTGTGTAGATGTAAAGTGAACAGTTTACGTATGTTCAGTAAATATGTAGAAATGTAAATAGGTGTTGTATATTATATATATAAGGCTACAAGTTCTTACTCACTGATAGAAATAGAAAGCATACTTCCCGATATGGTGGAAAAAAATATTTATACCGTTGTACGCGGATATGCTCCAAAGTAAAGAATCAAATATGAGAGGACCTGAATATGGAAAATATGAAAGAGTGATCAACGGCCTGCAAAAACTATAATACATGTATGTTTTATGAGATACAACCTGGTCAATTTCCGCGGGAAGTAAAAAATGTTCGAAATTCAAATAAACAAGATGGCCGCCATTCAAATTTCAAAGCCTACACGGAAACTATTAGAGATAGGCAGGAGGTGCTCGAAGGAATGTCATAAAGGGTAACACTGGTCAACTGCCTGGGTTAAAAAAATTCAAGATGGCGATTTCAAAATGGCGCGGGCGGCCTAAGAAAAACTTGCTTCGATCCGGCTGAAAATTGGCATGCAAAGATCTTTAGGAGTTTTTGATCATAATTTGGGGTCAAAAATTTATATTCGCAATTTTTTAATATGGCTGCCTTATAAGGATTTTTTTCGTTGAAAATAGATGCCGTAAGAGATTTGCTCTGATTCGACTGAAAATTGGCATGTGAAGGCCACTAGAAATAATAATAATTTGTGCTCAAAATTTGTTTTTCGCTACTTTCAAATATGGCCGTCATAGAAGCATTCGTCGGCGGCAGAAAAAAAATTGCTCAGATACCTTTGAAAATTGGCATATGGGGGTTTCTAGGAGTGCTTGATAATAATTTGTGATCAAAATTGGTTTTTCGCCATTTTTAAATATGATTGCCATACAAATTCTTTTAGCGGCAGATAAAAACTTGCACTAATTCGATTGAAAATGGACATGTCGGGGTCTTTATGAGTGTTTAAGAATAATTAGCGGTTCAAATTTATTTTTCACCATTTTTCAATATGGCTACCATACAAACTTTTTTGGCGATAGATACAAATTTCTTCTAATTCGACTGAAAATGACATGGCATCATAATTTGGGGTAAAAATTTTGTTTCCGCTGTTTTTCGATATAGTCGTAATTTATTTATGTAACTTGCTTTGCTCGCACTGGAAATTAGCACGAAAAGATTTCTAAGATTATTTGATAATAATTAGTGGTCATAATATATTTTTGTAATTTTTAAATATGGCCGCCATTAAAGAGCTATTTAATTTTTTTCAAAACAAAGTCCTAAGTGCCGAGGCCGCAGGCCGAGGTCCACAGAGGGCGAAGTCCGAAGCGTCCGCATGCCTTCGTATGGAGGTAATTATATACGGAGGCGTAATAGATTACGACTACAAGATCTCACAGTTGTAAAAATGTAAGGCATACTTCCCGATGTAGTGGAAATGAGATACTTATTATGGCGTTGTTGTATCTCAACCATATCTGTTAGATTCCATTTTCTTGAAAGCTATGCCAAAGAGAAGTATTTAGGGGAAAAAAATGCCAAACTACTGCCGAATTTCCTGTATAATGAATACCAAAACAACCATAATCCAGAATACTCAGACCAAAACTTAGAAATGTTCGTTTCTTAAATTGGCCCCAATTATATATACATATATATAAATATAGGTAAGAAGTAAGTAAGTATTAAGTAGGCTACATCACTCCCTCCCAGAGACCGTCACTACGGGCGATAATAGTTCGGAAACCGAACTCTGCGGCCTGAGCGTGTCCTTCTCACGTCATCCTAAGCTGGGACATTGGGTCCTATAGGAACAGGATCAGGAGAGGGTTTGGGAGGAAGAATAGGAGTAGGCATAGAATACATGGGGGATAGGTCAATCAGTGCATAGGCTGGTTTGAGGCGGTCTATGGATACCGTAACGCTTTTTCCCTCAATTAAAATTTTTAATGTTTTGTCGCTGCGGTCAAGCACTTCGTGAGGGCCAGAGTAAGGAGGCTGCAAAGATCCACGTAATGAGTCGTCCCTTAAAAATACATGACTAGATGAGGTTAAGTCTTTGGGAATAAAGATTTTGCCCTTATTGCGACGCGCTGCAGGTACAGGACGCAGCTTTGATGCAAATTGACGCTGACGACTGGTAAAGTCCGATATATTGGTGGAGTGGGTGGTCGTGGGTAGGAAAAACTCTCCAGATAAACGTGCTGTACGGCTCCCCGTGCACCAGCTTATCAATCGATGTTTGGAGGTTATCTTTAAATGAACTTCTACTGCCCAAAAGCACCAGGAGCAATGTATCCACCCAATTACTATCCGCATGGCATATTATGGCGGCTTTCAACTGTCGATGGAATCGTTCCACTAACCCGTTACAAGCTGGGTGATAAGCGGTGGTTTTGCGATTTTTGAATCCGGTCATTTTTCTCAGATATTAGAGAAGTGAAGATTCAAACTGTCGTCCGCGATCAGTGACTATATCTGTTGTACATCCAAATCTAGATATTCACGATATTAATGCCTTCCCAACTGTTTCAGCTGTCATATCCGCTATAGGTGTTACTTCAAGCCAGCTTGTGAAACGATCCACAGCAGTAAGGCAGTAGCGGTAGCCTTGTGAGACATGAAGAGGGCCAATAATGTCTACGTGAATAAAGGAGAATCGAGCACGAGGTAGATCAAATGTGTCAAATGGCGCCAAAGTCCACAGACTTTGGCGCCATTTGGCACATTTGTCAAACATTGTCGGGACCATTGCAGACAGTCTTTACGAACATTAGGCCGAACAAATCGCTCGGCGACCAATTTAGCGGTGGCGTTGGCGCCTGGATGGCTAAAACTGTGGAGGCTCTCAAAGAGTTGTTTCCTTAGAGGCTTAGTAACAAAATTTAGCTTAGGTGAGGCTGTGCTGACGTCACAATAAAGTTCTATTTCAGTGTTTGGGATCTTTAGCTTTTTGAGGCAGAGTGAAGATTTACCTTCCAGAAGTTGAGTCAGCTCTGGATCTAATGATTGAGATGAAGCTAGCACGTCTAAATCGATTAGCATCTGCAGTTGTTCAATACGCGACAGTGGATCGGCGATGATTATCCTTTCCAGAAATATGTCTAATGTCGGTAGTGAACTGCGAGATGTAATCGAGGTGTCGGTATTGCCGAAGCGAACAGTTAACTTTTCTTTCACTGAAAGCAAAACTTAGCGGCTTGTGGTCAGTAAACACGATGAAATGCCGTGCCTCTAGCATATGGCGAAAGTATTTAATGCTTTCGTAAATGGCTAAAAGCTCGCGATCGTAAGGTGAATACTTTACTTGAGAGGGGCTCAATTTCCGCGAGAAAAATGCTAAGGGCTGCCATACATTACTTTTAAATTGCTGCAAAACTGCACCCATTGCCAGGTCAACCGGGTGGGATGATCTAACACAACCAGTAAGCAATGCATTTAAAGGAGCCTGGATCGGAGCAGATTGGGGTAGAAAGCGCCTATAAAAGTTAACCATTCCTAGGAATCGCCTAAGTTGTTTGACAGTCTTAGGTACGGGAAAATCTTTTTTGGCCTGGACTTTTGACTCGAGTGGTTTTGTGTGTGATGCAGAGATCCGGAATCCTAAAGAAGTTACCTCGGAAATCAGCTCTGTATTCCTAAAATTGTTCCCGTGATTAAATAATAATTTAGCCGAAAATTTGTACTTTTTATTTCCAGCATTTTTAATCAGCATTTAGGAATACAGAGTTGATTTTTTTCGTATGATAAATAATAAAAACATCTCACGAACGTTCCCGATTAGTGGCGAACACCGCGTTATTAATCCTTCGCCCAAAGCTACGTTCACTCTAATAGTGTGCGATGTTTTAATCGCCGCAGCAACAAAAAAATAATAACACATAATGTAGTTGTACCTGAAAGACATCTCCTTCAGAAATGATAACCGAAAACCGCTGCAACGTGAAAGCCTGATCCTTGGTGCAATTTGTCGCACCACTGAATAAGGCGTCGAATGTACAGCGACGGAACTTTGCTTTTGCACTGAAACATATACATGTATTTCAATTAATAAGTTCCGTCGTCTTTTTATTTTGTAGCCATACTTATGTATGACCAACAAATATTGTTTTGATTGATATATACTATATTATGTAAGGCTACAAAAATGTAACACTGTGCATTTATACCTTCCTAATACACACGGAACGACGTCGAGCTACGTCAATTCAATTCTTCATTGCATTTACCATAATGTTACAAGAATGACAATGGCTTAAAGCTAAGGTGACATCGCATTATGGACCCTGTAGGGAACTGCAAATTATATTTATAACGAACAAACGAACGAACGAACTTTTTGTTTGCTATTCAGATTAATATTCTAAATATAGTATATTTTTAAAGCAACATTTCGTTGCGTTTTCATAGTCAATGTCGTCGTGACATGTCGCCGAAGGCGCACGCGGTAATGATTACTTTTACTTGTGCTTGTAATCATAAAAATCATAAACAGTCATTTATCCAAAGAAGCAATATGTAGTATCTCTAGTTTGTTAGGGTGTTATATAGTGTTATACGGCACTGAATGGTACTGAAGCATTTGAGAAGATTCGGTCCTATTTCTGCTACCCTAAGGTTTGGCACTGAACTGTGTGCTTTCGCGCCAGTGAGACATACTGTTGGATCCATGACCCTGTAAATTTACCCTTTTTGATATTAGAAAACATAAATCTTCAGTCAAATAATTAAGTGCCTCTCAAGTTTTCATTCTTTTTTTTTCAAGTTAAAATCGGACCTTTCCAATAACTAATAAATATTTTGTTGAATCTAGAGTGGCTTTGTGACTTGAAGTAAATTAATTTGCTCTTGGATTAAATATTTCTGTCTTATAACTAAAATACACTTTGGAGACGTTTTTTTTTCTATTATCAAGTAATTATTCTCTAGCGTCTATAGGGAGAGGATCGTTTTGTTGGATTTAATAAATTTGTCGTCATAAAAAGAATTTTGTCTTTTTCTAAGTAATCTGTTTTTACCGTGTACCTATGAAATAAAGATTTTTTTATTTTTGACTTTTGAACCGACAGAACGACAAATAAGTGCCCATAGAAAATTAGTTTCATGTAGATCTCAATACTGCCCTCCTTGTCATAAGCAACGCATTCGCATAACTTTCGAGCTATTGGCACTTAAAGAATTTTTTTTTTATTGATTTTGCTAAACAGTATAACTGAAACTAAACAAGATATAAAAAAAATCGCTTAAAGGATGTTGTAATTTCGATTCGCTTATTCCAGATATGTTAAAACTTAATTTCGATAAGAATGTCGATTACGTTGTTTAAGATAAGGACGGCAGAATAGATGGTTCTTTTTTTATTCCGCTAAATGAGCCAGTATACATATCACATATCACATATACATATCACAACTATCGACCTCTAGGATAACTGGAGTGCCGTCGGTGTCCGATGACGTATTTGACATCAAACATCGCACATAATTGACATGACTGCATGGAAACAGCTTATTGTACATGTATAGTTCTTTGTACAAGCATACTATGATATAACTGCACGATCGTATTCGATATCACGAGCTAATAATGGGAGAACTCGGTAGCAAAGCTAAAATGTAGGTAGGTGCACCGGAATATGAAAGCACTTACGCAAAATTTAAATTTGTAATGGGTTTTTCTTTACAAGGTCAAGTGACGGGACGAATAAGACGTGCGCTTGATGGTAAGATACACAACTGTCCATAACAGTTGCAGTGCCACCCAGGGCATCAAATTAAATCCCAAAGACATAAGTTGACAAGTCCCATGTACCTGTAATTTCACCAGCACCCTGACCCTTCAAAACCGGAATTTAGTAATGCTCACATTAATGCTTGGCGGCCGAAATAGGTAAGGATAGCTCTACTACTACTATATTTTTTAGTGTTCATGAGTTGTTGTGCCCGCTGGAAAAAACTGCTAAAACATAACTATTCTTCCTTCTTTCACTGACGTTCCAACGTATGGCGGCTCCGCTAGCTTTAAAAAAAGAACCATCGATAAGAAAAGAAAAAAAAAGACAGATACACTTACCAACATAAATAAAAATGTGACTCAAAATGTGACCATTCCTTTGTAGAATTTTTCTTAAGATTGTCCGCCGTCGTACCGAAATCTAAATAACATTTCTCCCATCGCTCAGACACACTGTCAATACAATACGGTAACTCGTCGTATTCTGAAGCAAAATATTAATAAATATACAATAACGTGATGTGAGCTTTTCTGTCAGATGTCTGACAGACGTGGATGAACTGACGGTGAGTTCCTGTTCTTTTGCTTGGCTAATTTGTGTGACACATAGTAAGCGATTTTTGTTTTGAACACGATTCGCACGAAGTATTACGCTTCCACATTTATATGGCGAACGGCTATGGAGTGAAATTCCCTGCCTGCAGGTTTGTTCCCTGAACTTTATAACTTGAACCAAAGGCCCACTCTCGCCAAGAAAACATGGCGAGAGTGAATAGGCAAATTATTTAGGTGTGCATGCTCCACTGTCCACCTCATCGTCACTTTCCATCAGGTAGGATGGAGGTCAAATGCGCCCTTACATTTGTATAAAAAAAACCGTACTCAGGGGTATTTATTGGACATAATGCAATATACATATATTACAGAAGTTTAAATCTTTTTAGCTATTTTATGTAAAGGGTCCCGCAGTACAATATTTATGTACCCATTTTTAAACCGCCACTGACAAAAACTAGTTTCGTTCCCCAGACTCTTAAGTCTATTTAGTGATGTGACGTGTTATGAATTTCCACCTTATATTCATTCAATTCTCTTAAACCTATATCCTCAATTCCAAATCATACTCTTATGGCTGTAGTGTAGTCACACTACACAAACAGATGGTTCAGAATTTTTGTTCTTTTATAGTAACCGCAGAGGTTCAACCAGTTAGGCACCTTTATAGCTATATAGATTTTAAGACTTTCGTGGTTATTCACTAAATGATTATCACTAGTAACAGGTTTCTTACCACGGTATAACTTCTTTTTATTTTCCCGATATTTCGGAACGGTTGCACGCTCCATGGTCACGGGTTGACTGGACGGCGGCAGATGACAGCTTTATGGGCAGACATATCTGTCTACCCTCTTGCGCTGTCGACGACTACCTTCATCGCGATTTGTTGTGGCGTTACCATTGTCACTCACTTTTGTGTGTGAACCGTGATGATGGTTTTAAACTGTCCAGTGCATGGAATCCGGTCCTTAGTGCGTGCAGTAATAAAAACAAAAACACCTCGAGTTCAGTTTCGCGTGTGGATACAGTAAGTGTGGTTTGTGTGAAAAAAGTGAGTGACAATGGTAACGCCACAACAAATCGCGATGAAGGTAGTCGTCGACAGCGCAAGAGGGTAGACAGATATGTCTGCCCATAAAGCTGTCATCTGCCGCCGTCCAGTCAACCCGTGACCATGGAGCGTGCAACCGTTCCGAAATATCGGGAAAATAAAAAGAAGTTATACCGTGGTAAGAAACCTGTTACTAGTGATAATCACCTTTATAGCTGCCAGCCCTGGCTAGTGATGTCGGTATTCACTGTAATACAATAATAGAATATCACTGGTTAGACATCCTGACATTCAATTATTTTTTGTGAAATTACTCCACTAGTTTGTTATAATTGGTACTTGGTGTAACGGGCTGGTATCCGCAATTCGACGTCAGGGCGCCTATTTTGTGTGGTTATAATTATTAATACAAAGATCGAACACTTAGAAAAAATTCCTTTGATCCAGACGCTTTGCAAACTAAGCCACGGAACGAACCAGCGGACCTCACGAATTTTTCCATATGCTTGTTGTCGAATCTTTGTATTTAGCTTTTAATGACTTTTTAGCCACCATCTATGAGAAATCTTGAAAGTATTTCGCCACCCAGTTAGGCACCTTTACAGCTACCAGCCCTGTGAAAGGTAAAATTACTAAACATTTTATAATTCTTAATACAAAGAAAAATTCATTCGATCTGACAGGACTCTAACCTGCCTCCGTGGCCGAACGCAGAAGTCCTGGGTTCGATTCTCGGGCCGGAAATATTTGTATGGCCTGCATTTATTTCTCTCGTGAGTTTGGGTGTAATTTGTGTGTGTACGTGAGGCGCACTATAAGTTTCCGGAATGAATAAGAAAAAATACATAAATGGTCAGAAATGAATTTATTGTTTCTCAAAATATTCTCCGTTAGCGTTAATGCACTTTTTCGTACGAATGAACCAATTTTGAAAACATTTGTGCCACTTCTCCGTGACAATCTCTGAAACATATTTTTAATACTCTTCGACAGCCTCTTCAGGTGATGAAAATCGTTGAGCGCGTAAGTGGTTCATAATTTTTGGAAATAAATAAAAGTCACAAAGTGCCAGGTCGGGACTGTACGCGGGATGGCTCATAAGGTCAACGTTGTTCATCTTCAAAAATTCATTTGTCTGTCTGGCCGTGTGAGAACTGGCATTACCGTGGTACAAGATGATACGGCGTTTACGGTTATTTTTACGGAGTTTATCAATAACTTCCGGCAAACAAATGGTCATGTATAATCACTATTCACGGTACAATGATTCTCTAAAGCAACAGTAGCCACGTGTCCAGTTTTATCAAAAAAGAATCAATCATCTGCTTAGAGGCACTTTATACGCGCGCCACTTTGGTTGGTTTCGGCTCGTCTCAAAAGACCCATAAGCTCGATTGCTGCTTTGTTTTGGGATTATAACTATAAATCCATGTTTCATCACCTGTTACTATGTCCCACACCAAATTTGAGTCCCCTTCGTTAAATCTGGTAAGCATGGCATTGCACCTAGTGACGCGATCCGTTTTTTGAGCCTCAGTCAAATTGTGTGGGATCCACCGAGAGCACAGCTTTTTCACACCCAAATGTTTGTGTAGTATTGATCGTATCTGACTCGTGCCTATGCCTAAAGATGTTCAAAATCTCATGGTATGTCACATGCCTGTCTGTTTTGATCATACGGCGCACAGCATTGATGTTTTTGTTGTTCACAGCAGTGGACGGGTGACCATCACGAAATTCGTCATAGAGATTCACACGACCGCGTTTGAATTCTGCAAACTAGCTATAAATAGTCGTCTTGCATGGTGCTTTATTGCCAAAAGCAGTTTGAAGCCAAGCAAAGCTCCGCTGAGCTGTTACATTACACTTAAAGTCGTAGAAAATCATACTGCGAAAATTTTGACGAGTTAAATACATGGTGATGTAAACAACTAATTTCTAAAATGACACCACATTGTAAAAACAAGTGACAACCAGAAGAAACAAACTGTATTCTACAGCCCAAGAGCTCCATTTTCAAATGTTGTAATTACTTTTTAAATATTGTTTATGTAAGTGGCCAGTTCCAGAAACTTATAATGCGCCCTATTTACGTACGTGTGAGTGCGTGCAGGCGTGCGTGCGTGTATATCAAATTAGAGCCACCGCTCTGCCAACTAAGCTAGAAATCGAGTCAGCAGACCTTATAAATTTCTCTGTGTTTGTTACAGATCTTTTGATATATTTTAGATAACAAACTAGTGAAGTAATTTCACAAAAAAATAAATGAATATCATGGCAGGGTAACGTCATGACATTCAATAAAATGAATATTACAAAAGAAATTTTGATTAAGTTTTTGCCATTGTGCGGACTGGTTTCCGAGAAAGCTTTTGTAGCTCCTAATAAAAGAGTTCGTTCAAGGAAATATTGCCATCTTACCTGTTTCTACCGTCAAACAGGAATGTGAAATTAGACGCACGTGGGACTTGTCAACTTATGTGTACGGGTTACTGGCGCAGTGGCAGTGCCCCTCGGTTCTTAGTGATTTAAAGCTTTGAGTGGCACTGCAATTGTTATAGTCACTCATGTCGCTTACCACTAGATGCAAGACTTGACCGTCCCGTCACTTACGGTATCATTAAAAAAGCAGTCACCAGACGTGCCAATGTTTTCTTCAGTACTTTCAGTTGTTCAGGCACCTGGCCTGCTCACCTTCTTGAATTTCGTCCACTTTAGCCATTTGTCTTAAACATTTTCTATCACAAAAAAAATATTCGATATTAACAAACAACTTACTAGCAAGAAAGTTTGAATCCTCACATATTCTACTAATGACAAAGTTGTGTCCACTAATACTTTCTTCGTTGAAACGACTATTTGTTACATCTTTGCAGTCTAAATTCCATTCCCTCGCACACGTTGTCAAATGTTTAATAGCCCTGAAATCAGAAGGTACATACATATCGATGACTTTTTAGTGGCCTATCGCAAAAAACTTAAAATATTAGAGGAAAATAGTTCAGAAGAACAAAATCGAAGTATCGTTCACCAATGTTGTCATGTTGATTATTTTGACCAATAAAAAATTCGGTGACTTATTCACCGAAAACGACAAAACAATGTTATTAGAGTATTTTGGTATGTCACCTTTCTTGAAAATCAGCATTATATTTTGTGTACGCTAAGTTACCTGCCCAACGTTCACTCTTACTTTGAAGTGCCTAATATCCAATACGACACAAAAAAGTCCTTGTGAAATTTTGAAAAAACTGTTTAATGATAAAACGCAAGAAAAATACGTTAAATTATGCCGTCCTGCAGAATAAACGCTGGACCGTACGAAACAGGTATGATATCGGCTGTTACAGGTCATTGACCTTGTAAGCAAAATTTTGTTATATTTTAATCATGAGTACATTTTGGTGTCTTTATTTCACTTAATAAATGATTTATTTTTACGACCTGTATAACACTTATCGCTTTTGCAATTCTATTAATATTAAATTTTGTTGACAGAGCGCTGCAAGAGTAGATTGTAACTAATATACAAGTACGTATTTTGTTTCCTCTATTCGTACCCGTATTTTAATACATACTTGTTTTTACGAGCCATTTTTAGCAGTTTATTGCGAAGGACAACTTCAATCTGTACATAGATTAGCTAATGGAAGACCAGCGGTGAAATAACAGTATCGTACTAGTGGCAATATAGTGGCAACAAAACTACTTACGCGCACCAATAAGGGAGCCTATAAGGTTCCGGTGGTGATTTCTTCGTTGAATTATACGTCATTGCAGCTGTAATTGTACAATTCAATGCATACAATGCAAATTCTTCGCAATTTATGTTTCGATAATCTGTGACTACAGATGTTTTAAAAGAAACAATATCGGGCTCGTCAATATATGCCACCGTAGGTTCTGAAATTGAATACATTTAAAAATTATTATGTGGACATACAAAAGATTTATAATTTAATGGTCTGATAAGTAGGTATGAGTAAAAATGCCAAGAAACCACATCCATTACCTGTTGGTCCAAAACTAGGGGATTCTTACTATGAGAATTAGAAACATATCTTAAATTACTCTTACGGGCAAATATAAACTGGGACCTCGTTGTCTTGCTCCCAGAATGCTAAGCGCTGGACCACCGGAGCCATTAAAGAAATCAGGATTCATATAAAATACTTCATTGTGCAAGACTATTACTTTAAATTTTGTAGTGTAGTACATAACCACACATTCAGTTGTAAATTAAAGAAAAGTTGAATTTCCTGGTATCAGGGCATGAATGGCACAACATCGAACAAGTCACTATTGCGGGAAAGCATGTGGTGCTTTCCCGCAATCGTGATTTGTTGACGCAGACGCATATTTAGTCACAGATATACTGATTCTGTAGAGGCCATGAATCAAAAGTCAAATAACCCTGAAAGTAATGTAGTCACCTAATATGTAGACATGAGGTGACGATGGAGCATGCACAGGTGTGTATAGGCAGGAGTGAATAGGCATTATATAGGTATATAATGCCTATTCACTCTCGCTTTGAAAAGCAACAAGTAATAGCGTATAACAAACAAATCAGCACTCACCAGGCGATGTGTAATGCTTCTTATTCCTACGCGATTTTCTTGCAGTTCCATCATCAGATAACACCAAAATTAATAAAAACCAAAACAGCTTTCGCATCTTCCTAATCACATTGGGTCTTAAAAAAATCTTTCACCCATGTTATAGTCTGTAACAAAAGACAAAAATTGTCTTGAACTTTCTCATAATACAGTTGTTATTTTTCGCAAGAAAGTGCACTGCTTTTCGATACAAATTATTGTAATTTTGGATCAATTTTCCAAAAAATAAAAATTATTCTAATTGCAAAATAAAATTGGAAATTCAACTGAGTTAATACGAGTAACAGAGAAGCATTTATAACTTTGTTAAATTATAAAAGTTTAAAAGACAAAAAATGTTTGGATAAACATTCTGTCAATATTACAAAGATTGTCAAATGATTAACCAAACAGGTGATCAAAAAGTTTTATTACTCTGTGAAAAGATTAAACATGTTCTATCAACGTTTGCGAACAGAATGTCATAAAAATAAGTTATTAAATTCTATTGTTAAAAAATAATTCATATATAATTATAAATTACCCGTTTAATGAGTTGTTTAATTATGTCCTTTCTAAAACTGGCGCATCACAACACTTCTAACGTTGTTGACAATAAAATGATTGTCGTTAAGTTGTGATGTAGGAAATACAAAAGTATGGTCGATAATACCTACAGTAAAAAATACCTTCAACAAATACGCTTGATATAGCTATATCCGTCTACACAACAACAAATAGTGCCGTAAATATTTGCCACACAGATCAACAAATATGAGTTGACTTGACTGACAGAAAATTATAAGTTTCTGCCATTGACTTACAAATAAATGGACGACGGGTCTAATACAAAAACCACGAAACAAATGTCCCAAGTCAACCTATTCGAAATTTAAATTGTAATGTCATCGCAGTATCGCGCTGTCAGTAGAACAAATGAAGACTAAAGCGGAGTGTCGCGCTCTGTATACGATTTTAGCGCCTTACAAGTGCGGACACTTTTTAGCGCGGACCCGACGTCCATATAATTGTAAGTCAATGGTTTCTGCATACAATAATTATGATTATTAAATATGGAGGCGCGAAAACTCCGCGAGTGCTAGAAAGTTGTGTCAGTTTATGCAACAACAAAAGCATGAAGTTTAGTAACAAGGTCCTTGTGAAAGAGTTCGTCCAGGGAAGTACTGCCACATTACGTATTTCTGCCGCCAAGCCGTAATGTGAGCATTACTGCGTTCCGGTTTAGAAGAGTAAGGGTGCTGGTGAAATTACAGGCACACGGGACTTGTTACCTTATGTCTCAGGGTGGCTAGCGCCGTGACAGTGCCCCTAAGATCTTTGCGATTTAAAAATCTGAGTGGCACTGCAACTGTTATGGATAGGCGCGTCGCTTACCACCATATATATAAAAAAAGAGGGTGCGACAAATCATTGACTTTTTTTTTTGCTTAAGGAAATGACAATTTATTATCTCAAGGTTGACCTAAGCGACTGGATTGACCTTAAAGCGGGTTTTTTTTTTTGGAAGGGTTGTGTAGGGATCTCACTCACGGCAAATCGATCCTAGGGAAAAGTCTCCTCCCACCTTGCGCAGGTCCTGTCAGCGCATGGCTGCTTTGGCAAATACCTGCGCGACATCAGTGTGGTTGCACCGAAGATACGGCGCAGCATACACTTCAGGCATGGGAGGACCAGCGGTCGTCCCTGACCGCGGCGGTAGGACACGACCTCTCCCTGACAACCGTGGTTCGAGCTATGGTCGGTAGCGAGACGGCGTGGAGTGCAGTGGCCTCTTCTGCACTGATATAATGTCGCGGAAGGAGGCGGCGGAACAGGAACAAGATGAAGACCCTTCCTCTCATCCCATGCGCCGCAAACTCTTGAGGCGCAGGCTGCTGGCTTATGGCCGTCAACTGCCGCCATGAGAGTGAACCCTGGGAGGCAAAAGCAGGGGCTTTTGTTACTCATTACATAAGGGTTCACGGGTTGGTTGGTGTGCCAAGTATTCCCGGCACGCCACTAACGATAGAGGGGGAATGGTTATGTAAGTAAGAGTCTCACAATACCACCGTATCTCTCCGTGAAGCGGTGGTATCCATGACGGATTTTCCTCCGAAAAAAATTAACAAAAGGGATCTCACTCACTAAATGAATTTATTTTACTTCCACTTATCCGATCGATTTGAAATTTGATATACTTTGTAAATTCGATATCATTAGAATAATATAACATTTTTTATCCAACGTTGCAAAGCAGGACAATTGTATTTGGATCTTGACGAGTACTTGGCTCACAGATGGTGATTTTTTGGAGTACACTGTTTTATATCAGGGGCTTTTTAAATTTAAATTTAATTAAATTCATATGAATATCGTTTAATTGTGCTTCATTGTTTTTCTCATATTAATGTGACACAAAGTACCAACGTGCATGAAATTGGTTTCCCGCGATGGGGTGCCGAAAATGCCGTGAACTTTTCCTCTTGATATGTTAATACGTAACGATTTCCCAGATGGTACATATGTTTATTTTGTATATAAATTATTACAACGTATGTGCGTTGGGACTCCACTTGCCGAGAGTTTCAATTCTGAAGAATGCAAATAAGTAGACAAATCCGGGACCCCATTACTTTTGGATTTTCAATCTTTTCGCCAGCTCACTTTTGAAGTCAGCCATGTTTTAAAAATGAGATGGAGTATTTGTATCGATTTTGGCATTCTATAGCGCCTTATCTTAAAATCGGTTGATACTCCACAGTGTTTGAAGCCCCGCTTATTTAACCAATGTGTCTTGCCCACTATGACTTACGGTGTCCAGACGTGGACACTCACACAGGAGGCTGTGTACAGAATGACAATCGCACAAAGAGCCATAGAGCGAGTCATGCTCGGCATCAAACTTATAGATCGAGTTCCGAATTCCGAAATCCGTAGACGAACTAAGGTCTAGGATATAGGAGATCGGATAAGGGGTTTAAAATGGAGCTGAGTGGGACATGTTGCGAGACGTGGTGAATACAGGTGGAGTACGGCGTTAACCGAATTGTGGCCAAGAAATGAATATAGAAACGTGAGACGTCCTGTAGCGAGATAGGTGGACGACATTGACAAAGTTACGGGCAGTAAATAGATAAGATTAGAGTAGAATCGTGGTGGAAGGCATAAACTACGGGAGGCCTATACCCAGCAGTGGGTGAAGTCGGGCTGTACATGATGGTGACTGACTCATACAACATACACAGCAGTATAGCCGTTTAAACTTGTGACAATGCTACCTCTTTCATCGTCATCCCACCATTTTATTATCATTTTCTCTCGTTCCTGGCCACTTACTCATCAAATTTTGAATCGTTCTCTAATTCTTTTTTTTTTGTCGTCACTAACAACTATCAAAATTCTCGAAGAGAAAAGACGTCTCCTCAAATCATATAAACCTAACTGATTAGGAAGCAGCAATATATATTCGAATACAGGCTTTTTTAGGCCTTTCCTTCTCCTTGCCTTACATGTTCTTAGTTTCTACCTTTACATTAAAAATCTTACAATAAAAACTATGTGGACCGAGCCGTCTTTTTAATCAGCGTAGTTGCCTATTTGGCTCCTTTGATGGGCGTCGAGAAACCGACCGTCGAATACAAGGCAAATACTTTGTCACACATGCCATTTACACATGGTGATTGTTTGCCTAATATTATCAAATACGCAAGTACAAATAGCCACCATAAAATCGTCGAATGACATCGTTGATAGCTGCAATCGGTAACAGTTGATCAAGGAAAACCAATCACTCGGCTCACTTAAATCGTTGCCATTGGTATACCTGAAACTGAGATACCAAATTGTAAGACGACTACAACGCCAAAAATCTCAGCTCCCAATATCCTTCCTACCCTGCTTAAAAGCACGTAAACTGTAAAGCCAGTGACCGGATTTCCACTTGCGACTTCTAATTGGGCATAGTCTGACAGGTACTGAGAATGACAATATAAAGTTATTCAACCTATTTTATAGTATCCACTCTTTTGTCCCGGCTCCTTCAATAGTTCGAGATCGGAAGGTGGATTTTGAGACGGACAAAACAAGTTTTCAAAATATTTAGCTTCATTGTTGCAAATCATCTCGCAATTTGTTGGCCTTGAGAATTTTCACTTTTTTTATGATGCCAAGTAACAGGTCAAAAAAGTCGTGAGGCTGGTGTTAACCGAAGAGCCTGTTCATTGTAGTTGCAGTGCCACTCAGTGCTGTAAATAACAAAGATCTGAGGGACACTACCACTGCGCCTGTCTCCCTGAGGTATAATAATAATAATAATAATAATAATAACGCACACACTCAACATAGCCCCGCACTAGGGAAACCCTGTGTCGCGGGTGCTATGGACACACACATAGACAACCACAAATTACACCCAAACTCACGAGAGAAATAAATGTAGGCCATATAAATATTTCTCCCGGCCCGGGAATCGAACCTGAGACCTCTGCGTGGCAGTCCGGCATGGTAACCGTTCGGCCACGGAGGCAGTCCGCGGCAGGTATAAGTCCCATGTAACTGTAATTTCACAAGCACCTGTAATGCTCACATAACTGCTTGGCGGCAGAATTAGATAAGATGTCAGGACTCCACTGCACGAACTCTTTCTGCAACTTACTTTACACATTTTATACTCTTTGTATAATAATGCCACACGTGACATAATTCATGGGGCACAAAACAAGAGCCTCCACGCATGACGCACCATGCTTTACCAGTACGTCTGGCGTACCATGGGCGTACCTTGGGCAACATTGGCGAGTACCTTAGGCGATTTGCAAATCCTTTTGGCAAGCATAACTGTGTATGCTATCAATACGATAAGAAGAACAATGTGATCATGTGTTGAAAGTGCTTTTTATTTATTTACTTTTATATAAATAATAGACACACGCTTGCCCACAATCGCACCTGATTTTTTAAAAATCTTGACTTAATTTTAAGACTTTTGTTCTGGAGAACATGCCAGTCCTATCATAACATGAACATAACCTTATTCTAATTGTCATGCAATTTACAGTAAAAATGATTTAAATATTATTATTACATTAAACTTACTACGTTAACTATCGCCGATTTACGATGTCA